CACCATTTTCTCCCCATGAACTTCCAGAGCTGTCTATGTGTAACAAGTTTTGTGAATAGTTACCACTCTTGGTTAATTCTATTTAATTAAAGTTACCATAATTCAAATGCATATGCCTTTTGAAACAGACATTTATTTCTAGAAATCTAATCAGTATTTATATTCACACAGGAAGCAGCATAGACAGAGATAGACAGGCATTCCTGCAATATCGTTTATAACAGCAAACATCTAGAACCAACTTATATATTTAATAACAGGGTACTAATTATAAGTATAAATTATGATACATTCCTCAGTGGATTTATATGTGATAATGTGGAAATTTTCTCTAGGTATAAATTAAGATGAAAAATACAAGTGTTAGAACAATAGGTGTATATAATCCATGACAAAAAAATAAAAGGTCATTAAGAGGACATACGAACACATACTTTTATGTTTGTATATACCCAGAAAACTTCCAAAAAATACATCAAGAACTGGTTTAATAATTATCTTTAGGAAATGAGATTTCTTTACCAGAGGGGACAGATGTTTATACAATTTGCCTTAAAATGATAAGTTCTGAAGATGTGACTGAAAAGGGAAAAATGGCATTAAATCTTAATTATTCAATATAAGAGCAAAAAATATTAACATCAATGAAATGAAATACACCTTTCTACATTTATCTTTCTTAATTGGGAGAATATACCTATAGGATAAGTGGTAGGAGTTGATCCACAGGAGCAAAATTAATGTACACTCAATATTTCAATAGGTTCTTTTCCAACAATTTCACTCCCATACTAAACAACACACTCTCAACTCTATTTTTCCAACACCAGAACACGGGTGTTTTTCAAATTTTAAGTCTTCTGACAGTAAAACATGGTATCTGATTATTAGGTTTCCTCCATCTCTTCCATTCTCTCCCTGTTCTAAGTAATCCACTGTTTATCCAGTGTTTGTCTTTTGTTTTTGATGCCAGGAATTGAACTCAGAGGCATTTAGCCACTGAACCACATCCCAACCCCTTTTAAAGTTTTACTTTGCTTAAAGCCTCACTAAGTTGCTGAGACTGGCTTTGAACTTGTGATCCTCCTGCCTGAGCCTCTGGAGCTGCTAGAATTACAGGTGTGTGCCACCACATCCGGCTCTTTACTTTATTTAATGTTCTTTTCTTGTTGTAGAAGTTTTCTACTTTTATGCAATTAAAATTTTATCTTTTCTTCTATGGTTTCTTGATTTTTATATCATGTCATGTTAATCCCCAGCACTGGGGGAGGGGGGAATCCATTTTTTTTCATGATTTTCTTTCCTTTTTTATATTTAAAGCTTTGTTCTATATAAAATGAGTTTGATGTTTATCAGGGATCCAGCTTTATTATATTTTTATAAGTAGACAATAAATTCATTTATTTAAAATATAAAGCAAAACCAAAAAGCATTCTTTGAAAAAGCCAATTAAGCCAACCCACAGTTCACATTTTTTATTATTAGAACACATTATGATCTTCAGTTCACATCTTTATATTCTGAAATCCTAGAAACATTTTCACCTATGTATTTTACATATATGTGTGTATGCATGTATGTGTGTGTATATATACATGCACTTAATATCCTATCTGCTACTGTGAAAAGCCTTATAAACAACTGCTATTGTCTCCATAGTAACATCTACTGCGGATGTAACAATTTATTTAACCATTCAACTGTTACTGAACATGTAATAACTCTTATTTTTGTAACAGCAGTAAATGTCTTGTACATAAATCCTTTTCTATAGCTGATCATAGTGTCATACCACATAACAATATTTTGGTCAACAATGGATCACATATATAACAGTACTCCCATAATATTATAATAGAGCTGAAAAATTCCGACTGCCTAGTGAGATAGTCATAGTATAATGTATTACTCATATTTGTGGTGATGTTGGTGTAAAAAACCTACTGTACTTTCAGCTATATAAAAATACAGCACATACAATTACGTACAGTACATAACATTTGATAATAAGTGACTACATTACTGGTTTATGTATTAACTATATTCCTCCTACATAGAAAGATAACTATAAAACAGCCTCAGGCAGCTCCTTCAGGGGGATTCCAGAGGAAAGTACTATTATCATAGAAGATGACAGTTCCATGTGCATTGCTGTCCCTGAAGACCTGCCAGTGGGACAGTGGATGACAATACTGACCTGGGTAGGCCCAGGCTATTGTATGCTTGTTTCCTAGTTTTTTACAAAACAGTTTTTGAAATAAAATAAAATAAAATAAAAATTTTAAAATAGAAAAAATGTGGTATACAATGGAAAAGCTTACATGATAAGAACAGTAAAAAGTCCCAATACTTTGTACAGCTATACAATGTGTGCTTTAAGCTAAATATTATCACAAAATAGTAAAAATGTTTTGAAAAATTAAACTTAGAAAGTAAAAATTGTTACAGTAATCTCAGGCTAATTTACTATTGAAGAGAGAAAAATATTTTTAATAAATTATGGCTATCCCATATTGCCTAGATGTGTAGTAGGCTATACAACCTAGGTTTATGTAAGTACATTTTATGATATTTGCACAACAATGTATTTCTCAGAACATATTCCTGTCACTAGCAGTGAAAGACTGCATTTAAGATGTTTGACATACTCTTACATAACTTTCCAGAACTTTGCCATTATATTCAAAGTTTCAATTTTTAAGAGAGAGAGGAAAAAACTATACAAGCAAGACCTACAGATATACAGACATACTTTCTGTCTCAGAGACTACAGTGTTGGAGAAAGCAGACAAGCTGTGGTGGTAAACTTGGTCTTATGCTACCTCTCTCTAATAATAAATTTAATGAAAAGACTTGACTTCTGACTTCTACTCTTAGTCATTTAATGCCTGATATATATGAACTCAAAAAAAGTGGTTGAAATGAATCCTTAACATATATAATTTTTTTTCTGTCAGAACTTCAAATAAATATACAACAACTGTGCTAAGAGTCAATAAAAACCTAATTACATGAAAGATTTAGATGAATAGAAGTCGTGTACTGAGAAACAGATATAAAATAACACATTCTCAAATTTTGTTGTGTTTCGTTTTATACCAGAGATTTAACCTTAAGGGTGATTAACATTAAGCCACATCCTTTTATTTGTTCTTTTGAGACAGGGTCTCCCTAAGTTGCTTAGGGTCTTGCTAAATTGCTGAGGCTGGTTTTGAACTTGTGAACCTCTTGCCTCTGACTCTGGAGCTGCTGGGATTACAGGCATGCATGCCTAGCTTCTTTCAAAGTTTTATTTAAGAGGAATTGATTAATGCTAGTAAGTGATACACATCCACATAAATAAAACTATTGAGAATCCAAATAGAATATACTCAGTAGACAGTCACAGACTGCTGCTTACAGAAATATTCCCAGGAATCTTGGTTCCTTGGCATCTTTTAGCTTAAAGGGTTTTTGAATAACTGCTATTTCAATAAGACCAGTGAACTAACAATTCCTGGAGTAATGAAAACCATTGCCAAAGAACATATTTCTTTTTATTGCAACTGGAGAAATTTGGTAGAGTGATAGCATTTACCTATTTTTAGAAAACAATCAAGATTCAATAAATATCTTCAAGCATTTTCATGTTAATAGAGACTATTCAAAGGTCTTCCTTTCTTGTATAATTCTTCCCCTTACATAAAAATCAGGCTGTTGTATATTCATTATACTAACAATTCACCTAAAATATTCACTAATTATCTAAATCTCCTCTCAAAATATTTAGATATAAATATTTTATAAATTTAATATTCAAGAAATCTCTCAAGTCTTTAGCAAAGTAAGGCTTAAGGTTTCCACCTTCTCCTATGGTGGTTTACAGAGTTTTCTATCTGGGATTTTGAGTATACGTCAAAAATTATCTCCCCCCACCCTCCATTATTCCTTTTATGTGTATCTTTATGAAAACCCTCTTTGGGAAATGGTTGACTATGGCTTTATATCATTTGGTACCATCAAAACTTCATGATTATTCCTAAAATTTAATTAGCTATAGCAGAGAGGTCGGGTGTGGTCCCAGGATCAGCACCATCAGTATCATCAGGAGCTTGTCAGAAACGTAAATTCTTAGACTCCACCCCAGATTTACTAAAATTCTATGGGTATGAGCCCATTTATTTATCTGTGTTTTAAGAAGCCTTCCAAGTGATTGTAATGCACTCTAAAGAACTAAGAACAACAACAACAAAAAAAAAATAAAGGTAGTAATTACGTATTTGATAAAATATCTGCCTTACGGTCTAAGTCATTCTTCTTGAGATGTAGGTGAAGGTTAATGGACCCAATTACATAAAAAGATATTCATAATAAAATTTAGTGTAACATATCACACAGTCCTAATGCATCATCTAGCAATCATACAACTAATATACAATAAAAATTTTTAATGAATGGATAAAGAAAATGTGGTTCACAATGGAATACTCTTCAGCCATAAAAAAACAATGAGATCCTGTTATTTGTAACACAGACAGAAGCAAAGATCATTATGTTAAAGGAAATAAGCCGGGCACAGAAAGACAAGGATCATGTAATTTCATTCATATGTAAAATCTAAAAAAGTTAATCACATAGATGTTGAGAATAGAATGGTGGTTACCAGAGGCTATGAGAGACTAGGGGTAAGAGAGAGGGACAGAACTTGATCAAAGAGTACTAAATTACAGCTGGACAGAAGAAAGAAGTTCTGGTGTATATATAGTACAATAGCATCATTATAGATAACAATAATGTATTGTATATTTCAAAAAGAAGAAAGGATTTTGAAAATTGTCACCACAAAGAACTGACAAATATCTGAAGACACAGATATGTTTAACCTCATTTAAACATTACATGATATATATATCAAAACACTGTAATTACCTTACTGCTTAATATGTAAGATTTCTGTGTTTTGATATACTGGTTAGAAGATAAATTTACTTTTTAAAAGCATTTTAAAAGTATTTACTCACTTTAATGTTTCAGCAAGAAAGAAGCTCTGCTGTACATCATCATGTGTAGGAGTAGAGGAATATACATCCTTGACTCCAGAAAATCCACCACTGACCCGGCAGTACTTTTCAATAGCCTGTAAACGAAATCAATAAGAGAAACAATTCCACATAATTTCAAATTTTGAAGGCTAAGAATCAAAATCAAAAGTTTCTAAAAATCTGTATAAAAATTTGACAATATTAATTATTCTTTAATTAATTAATAATATATTCAGCCTAAAAATAATACATTATCAAATGGAAATTTCTCATTCTTGGAAAATTAGAGGTCAGCGTGAACTCAAATTACGAATTTAAATTTTATCACTTCCAAGAACAAACAATAGTCCATAATATATTAAAGTATTTCTTAGGAGCTTTCTATAGTAATATTAATAAGAGATTTACTAGTATATATTCACTGCAAATAAATTCTTGCCAGACATTGTATGATTTAGATACAAACTATGATTTCGATACAAACTAGCAGAAAGCTCATCTATATACCTTCTATATAATACTTAAAATTTAAGGGCTAACATGAAGTACTTACTATGTGCTGAAGGCACCAACATTTAAATTTCACAACAACCCTGAGTTTGATAGCTTCACTTTTCAGATGGAAAAACTAAGCAGAGTAATTTGCTCTATAATATTAACTAATGTGCTTTATTGCTTGGCTGGAAATTAAGATTCTAAATTTTTATCTCCTTTTGCATCCATGAACATGCCTAAATAAAACTGAATTCTGAATTCAATCCAATCAAATGCTATCTGTTCACAATTCTACTTCTAATTCAAAGCAATCAAATATCTTGCTTATGCAGGTATATCACGTACAGAATTAAACTGTTTGTGAAAAGTTGGAATTATTTATGGTTCTTTTCATTCTTTGTTCTATCTAACTCTCCTCTTATTTAATCATGGCTACCATGGCTTATTCCTAGTCTTGCAATTTTTCTTTCTCTTCTGGTCTTCTTTTCTAATAAAAAGTTAATTAACACTGAAAAGACTATAGTCAACTTGTTCCATTTTGATTACAGCTGGGTTTTTTTTCTTATACCTATCAATATTTTAAACATTTCAAATTCAAGAGTTTTTAAGTACTGGATCCCACAATGATCATATCTTCAGGACTATATGAACTACCACAGCTATTTAGGAATACTGAGGAACAGGAGGGAGGTGTGACTAATCCTTAAACCATTTAGAGTCATTTCCTGAGAGAAAGTTTCCATGTATAATTTATTCCAGTTTAGAAGACTGAATATGTAAACAAAACAGCTAAGGCTTCAGAAGACAGACTCATCACTATTGTCCAATTACACCTTCTCTTTACTTTCTTCACCTCCAATAGGAGGGGCCAATTATGATGCACAAAGAAATTCTTTTTAAGTTATGAAGCTTCCTCTTTGCCTCTATTTTTCCAGTTCTCATCATGGCACACTTTCCAAACCTTAATTTGTAGCATAGTTGTTTTGTTCTTGTTCTTGACAGATTACACTTTGAATCTGTATGTGTCTATATAGTCTATAAAAGTAAAATCCTAACTCCTATAATTCAAATTTGGACAGCTGTAGGCTAAAGTTGAATCCTGTCAAACCTCTTCTAACAGGTAAATGTGGGGTCATACTTTAAGATAGCACACAGGAAAAAAGGACTTTAGGAAAAGAATAATTTATTATATAGCATTTCCTAATGATAAGATGTGTATCCACCATCACTTTTTACCCAACTCCCCATTCCACATGATTGAGAAACATCTCCCTCGTTTTTCTAAATAAGAATCATTAAATATTAGGAAACATTCAAGTCAAATAGACTCATTACAGAACTACTTTACCTACCTATGCAAGCACTAGTAAGCCACCACTAACAAAATAATTGTATGTGCATGGGAGTGTATAAATGTGTATGAGTGCCTATTCCCTAACCACTGTGACAACAGTTTGGCTGTCCTCTCAGCTGTGGCAGGACCTGCTGGTAGAGCTGTACTACCTACCTAATCTTGGACTCATGGGGCCAGGGGAAAGCAGCATCAATAAGTGCTGTGCCTGTTTCTGCTCTGTGAAACTACCTTCCTTCTAACACTCTCCTGTCCAAAGGATTACCCAAACCTGAATGACAAAAGACCCTTAAGTGTTTTACCTTAGTTTAAGATATCACCCTATTCCTAGATTCATCAATGTGTGAATTATAATCAGATCCCTTTGCTTTGTTGTTCCCCAATGAAAAAAAGCTTTAAGTAGTCCCTAACCCTTTAAAAACTTTTAGTAGTTCTATAACAGATCCATCCTTCCTTCCTTCCCTTCCCTTCCCTTCCCTCCCTCCCTCTCTGTTCTGGGGATTGAACCCAGGGCCTTGTGCATGCCAGGCAAGCACTCTACCAACTGAGCTATATCCCCAGCCCCCAGATTCTTAAAATAAAAAATAGTGAGGGAAAAAAAGAAGATCTGAAGGACTTTTTAGATTACCAAACAACTTTTTATCATTACTTTGCATATGAAAACATAAGAAAGTGATTAACAAAACTTAGTGAGGGTGTGTGTATGTATGTTTTTGTGTCTTATTCCTGAACAACTAAATGAAGTACCCTTGATTTGACACATAAGGGCTCCAACTTTGCCACTGTGGAATGTTTTCTGTACATAAATCAGTGTACATTCTGCCCTAAAATACACCTTGCACATTCTTGGTTGGGCAATTTACTAGCATTCCTTATCTTGCCTCGGATGTTCATTAGTCATTTTATCAGATTACAAGTTTAAGTTAATTTGTCTGAATATAAATATTCACAATTAATACTATTCATCATAACTAGTGAATCTCAGAGAATAAAACATCCCCCACTCCAGGAATAACCTATATTTTTATAAAAGTCTAATTTTTTTCTTCCCCAGGTACTGATAGCCATGAGGTTTCCTGAAAGTCTAGTATTTTAAGAGTAAATCATTTGCTTCTTTAACTTATAATTAAAATTTCCTAATTTTAAATATACATAGTTTATTTTTCAACCTAGAAAATTTAAAAAAATTTACTGATCCTTCATGTGATCTATTAGGTATCTTTCATATCTCAAGGTAAAATGAACGGGGTCATCTACCCAAGTTATACACTTGATTAATTTTATGACTTTTCCCCCCTCCGGTGGTTAAGCATTAAGAGGACATGTAAAAATTAAATTACTTATATAACAATTATATTGGAAAATTGCCTTTTAAATAATTCCTCATATTATTCAATAAGGATAGTAAGTAAATACTGGCAGGAAACTACTCTCATTAGAAAATAAAACAGGATTTCAAGGTTTTATCTACTGCTCAAGAAATTTAAATGAACTAATAGTTTCTTCATTAGAAAAATAAAAATCATACTATAGTTTCTCAAACTGAGGTTAACACAGATAAGAATACATGGCACTATAAGAGGGCTTGGTTTCATATTCTTATAGATAAAATAAAATGTTGGCTTATTTACCAGTGCTGCTTCCCAGCCCCACTGCCTGTATCTTGGATCATGAGTAAATCGCCATAGGTACCAATAGGTTTCAATTACTTCTGGACGGAGGATATAATACTTTTCAGCCTGTCGGACAGCCACAGCCTCCACTGCACCATCAAACTTGAATGATTCAGGACCTAGCTTTAATGCTGTAACATGACAAAAATAAATAGATAAAGTAAATGAACCAAATAAACCACTGTGTTCTTTGCAAGAGCTTTTTTCCCTCCCACCAAAAGACTGGGATTTGAAGAAATGTTTGTTTTATTTTTATTGTTGCTGTTGTGCAAAATGAGTCACTTTAAAAGATCCAAATTTGATTTTCTTGTAACAGATTTATAAATATTCATTCCTACAACATTTGTTTAACTCTTCTTTCCATGTTCTTCCATGTAAAAATGCAGCAAGCAGACCCCTCACTATATCTCCAAATGCTATTTCCTTGTTTTGACTTTCTAGTAGCCAGAATAATAAAATATAAAATAAATGTCTAATAAATTTTAATAAATTTTAAAATATAAAATAAATGTATAATAAATTTTAATAAATTTTAAAATATAAAATAAATGTCTAATAAATTTTATAATAAATTATAAAATAAATGTCTGTTCTTATAAATTACCCCATCTTAAGTATTCTGTTATAAAAACACAAAATGGATTAAGACAGACCTCTTCCTAATCACACCTACGATTCTAAACCTGGGCAGTATAAAGTCATCTTCCATTGAGATGCTGGAGTCATAACACAACTACAACTTTCCACTCCCACCTTTCTTTCTGGTTATTAGGTTGTACTGATGGCAAAAGTTAAAAGTTTCAAGAGTTTTACCTCTTTGGAGAAGTTTTACCTCTTTTGAGAAATAATAACATTTTTCTCTCTTTTTTTATATATAAAGTATAGCACAAGAACTACTATGGAGACAGAACATAAATAAAATCATACTCTAGCAATGGCCAAATTTCAGCCTTACAAAAGTGGTAATGTATGCTCCAAATAATCACAACTCAAAGGAGGTGAAAGCAGACCTTTCTTATATATTCCTAAACCCCCTAAAAAAAATAAAAAAGAAATCAAAACCACTGTAGTAACAGCAGTTAGTTCTTTAAAATCAAAACATGATCCAGAAGAATTAATAACCACATTTTGTTACTGACAAGTCTTGGAGAACTAGAGTAAAACTCAAGCAGGAATTTCTTAACCTGAGGGACATGAAAACTATGGTAGGCTTAGAAAATAGAGTGTTGCAAAAAAAAAAAATAGAGTGTTTCAAAAAGCCTTTGAAATTATAAGCAAAACTGGGTGCATATGAAGTTTTAACCGGCTCCTCAAAGGGGTAATAAAAAAATTATCACTATTTTGGGGAAAAAACCCCCACTTTTATCCAGCTTATTGTTAAAGTCTGGTATAGGATGAAATATGATTTGGCATTTAATATGTGTTTTTTAAAATGGTGATTAAAGTCTGTATGTTTGTTTTTATACCAATATCTCACTGTTTTGGTTACCACAGCTTTGTAATTTAATTTGACATTAGAAAATATGATGCTTCCAACTTTTTTTTTTCCTTTCTCAAGAATGGCAAGGATGTGGGGAAAAAGGTACACTAATAAACTGCTGGTGGAAATGCAAATTGGTGCAACCATTATAGAAAGCATGGTATGGAGATTCCTCAGAAAACTTAGAATGGAACCACCATTTAATCCAGTTATCCTACTCCTTGGTTTATACCCAATGGACTTAAAATCAGCATATTACAGTGATGCAGCCACATTAATGTTTATAGCAGCTCCACTCACAGTAGTTAAACTATGAAACCAACCTAGGTGCCCTTCAACAGATGAATGGATAAAGAAAATGTGGTGTATATATATATATATATATATATGATGGAATATTACTGAGCATTTGCCAGTAAATAGTTGGAGCTGGGGCATTTGCCAGTAAATAGTTGGAGCTGGGGAATCTCATGCTAAGTGAAATAAGCCAATCCCCCCCAAAACAAAGGCTGAACGTTTTCTCTAATATGAGGATGTTAATTCACAATAAGGGGGAAAGCTAGGGAAGAATACAGTTACTTTAGATTAGATAGAGGGGAGTGAAGGGAAGGAAGAGGATATGGGTATAGAAACGATAGTAGAACGAATCAGATATTATTATCCTACATACATAGATAACTATAAGACGGGTGTGATTCTACATCATGTACAAACAGAAGAATGAGAAATTATACTTGATCTATATAAGATGTATCAAAATGATTTCTACTGTCATGTATAACTACACAGAACAAATAAGAAATAAGTAATTTTTTTAAAAAAGAATGCTTTGGCTAGCCAGGCACAGTGGTACATGTCTACAATCCTAGCAACTTGGGAAGCTGAGGCAGGAGAATTGCATGTTCGAGATTAGCCTAAACAACTTAGCAAGGCCCTAATAAACTTAGCAGGACCCTGCCTCAATAAATAAATAAGGCTGGGGATGTGGCTTAGTGGTTAAGTGGTTAAACCTCCTGGGTTTCATCCCTGGTACCAACAAAACAAAACAAATAGATGAGCAACCACAACCACCACAACAAAAAGATTGCTTTGGCTATTGAGGGCCTTTTGTGGTACTACAAGAATTTCATAATTGACTTTTCAATTTCTGTGAAAAATGCCACAGGAATTTTGGTAGGGATTGCACAGAAGCTATAGATTGCTGGACATTTTAATCATATTAATTCTTTTCCAACCCATGAACACATGATATGTCCATTTTCATCTGCTTCAATTTATGTTTTATAGCTTAAAGCACACAGATCTTTTACTTCTTTGGTTAAATTAATTCAAGTATTTGATTATTTTTGATGCTATCATAAACAGGATTATTTTCTCTATTTCTTTCATAGACTGTTATTAGTATAAAGAAATGTAAAGAAAAAACTGACATATGATTTTGTGTCCTGCTACTTTACTAAATTCATTAATTAATTTTATCAGGTGTTTGTGGGGAGGGAGCATCTTTAAGGTTTTCTACCTGTAAGATCAGGTCATTTGCAAACAGGAAAATTTTTACTTCTTCCTTTCTAATTTAGATGTCTTTTCTTTCTTTTTCTTGTTTGTTTGAGCTCACTAGTATTTCCAGTACTAGGTGGGACAAAAGTAGCAGGAAATGCATTCTTGCTTTGTACCAAATCTTAGAGAAAAGTTAGGTATGGGCTTTTCATACTTGGTCTTTAATATGTTGAAGAAATTTCTTTCTATGCCATTTTGTTGAGAGATTTAATTATGAAAGGATGCTGAACATTGTAAAATGCCTTTTCTGTATTCTGAGACATTACCATAAAACAGGCACACAGATCAACGAAACAGAACAGAGAGCCCAGAAACACCCAAGTATATAGAATCAAGAATTGTTTTTACAGGCCACCAAGAACACAAATGGCGAAAGGATAGTCTCTTCAATTAGTAGTGCTGGGAAAAGTGGATATTCAATGAAAAAGAACAAAATGAATCCTTTTACCACACACAATATGAATTCAAAATGGATTACAGACTTAAAGATAAGGAAGACTTGAAACTGTAGAATTCCTGAAAATAGAGAAAAGTACCATGATACCATCTTTGGAAATGATATTTTGGATATCACACAAAAATGAAGACAACAAAAGCAAAAATAATTAAGTGAAACTATATCAAACTAATAAGCTTTCCTTTGGTGTGGATTTCTTGTGTTTTTTCCCTCCTCAAAAACTATTTTGTACTACTACACTCCAGCCCGCGAGGAACCCAGGCTCTAAGTAGCCCTGGTTCACCCCTCCCCCAGGGGACAGACACTCGCCAGAGCCTAGCCTCTGGCACAGGACCACCCCTTCTGACCATCAGACTACCATGTGAGGTCCAGTCCTGCAGCCCAGGCCCAGATCCACCTACACCGGCCTGTGCAGGTCCCAGGCTCACAGCAGGCTGGGTCCACCCTTCACACAGTGGGGCTGGCACCCGCCAGAGCCTAGCCTCTGCCGGGACCACTCCTTCTGACCAGCAGACTACCAGGGAGGTCAAGCCCAGTGGCTTGGATCCACCTACACCAACTTGCACAGGACCCAGATCCAGGATGCAGTAGCATTCATTGAGGGACACCAGCAGGGTCTGGAAGCCCAACATCAAGATGAGGTACAGGCAATCTGCACGGGTACTACAAGAATATAAGGAATATAACTGTAATATCTGCAAGGAGGAAAGACACATAGACAACATAAAAAAACAAGGAAGGAAAGTGACCCCCCCAAAACCAGGACACTATAATAACAGAATCCATGGACAGCAAAGTTTATGAAATGTCAGAGAAGGACTTCAGAAGGTTCATAATTAAAATGATCTGTGAATGAAAAATGACCTAAATGAGCAACAACTGATCACTCCAACAATGAGATAAGAGAGCAAATAGAGGTAGCAAAAGACTACTTCGAGAGAGCTAGAGACTCTGAAAACAAACCAGTCAGAAATCCTTGAAATGAAGAATACAATAATCCAAATAAAAAACTCAATAGAAAGCATAATCAACAGACTAGATCATTTAAAAGAAAGAACGTCAGATAATTAAGACAAAGTATACAATCTGGAAAATAAAGTTGATCACACAGTGAAGAAAGTTAGAAACCATGAACAGAACATCCAAGAATTATGGGACAGCATCAAAAGACCAAATCTAAGAGTTATTGGGATGGAAAAAGGCAAAGAGTTTCAAACCAAAGGAATGCACAATCCCTTCAATGAAATAATATCAGAAAATTTCCCAAGCATGAAGAACGAATTGGAAAACCAAATTCAAGAAGCTTACAGGCACCATATGTACAAAATTACAACAGAGCTACACCAAGGCACATTATAATGAAAATGCCTAGCATACAGAATAAGGATAGAATCTTAAAAGCTGCAAGAGAGAGGAATCAGATCACATATAGAGAGAGACCAACTTATATATCAGCAGATTTTTCAACCCAGACCCTCAAAGCCAGGAAATTGTGGAAGAACATATACCAAGCTTTGAAAGAAAATGGATGCCAACCAAGAATCTTAATCTAGCAAAACTAAGCTTTAGATTTGATGATGAAATAAAAACCTTTATGATAAACAAAAGTTAAGAAAGAATTTACAACTAGAAAGCCT